ATGGAAATACGTTCACCAACAATAAACCCAACCACTCAACTTGACGCCGCCTGCCACACTGATTCAAGAATTCAAGAAGGATGTGTGAGGAGACACCTAGCGGTATTTCGATGTACTCATATCCATTCGCGTGCAAAATTCAAATTTCGGAAACTTTTGGATTGCCCCACGTATCATGGATGTTCAGGATAAGAAGAGAGGCTCTACAGTGTCACTGACATTGTAAAGTGTGTGGCTATAAATACAGGCTTCAAATTAATGGCCATGTATAAGAAACCAAAAATTGCACTCAAGAACAAAAGCCTGGCATCATCCAGTTAAATATCTGGCACAACAGGAAATCAAAAGAACAACCAAACTGATAACTACACATGGTATGCAATTCAAGGGGTCAAACGAAGATGATGCAAATATGTAGAGCCCTAGTAAAATGGAAAACCTGATCAACTGATTTACTGATAAAAACATATATTTTCAGTGAAAATTTAAAATTCGAATATAAAATTGTTTTATATTTGAGTAAAAATTATATCTCTTAAATGAGATCTGTGTGAAGTAAGAAGTGTAATAAGCTGCAGACAGTACACTCTACTTGGTCACAATGGGAAAACCATCCTTCCAGGAGAACAGAGTAACAGTAGATCTGCTCTAAAAGCAATGATATAATAAAGGAGACAGTTTCAAGTTTCAAAAAACAGTCTACAGTACACCTTCCTGTTTCACAATAAAAAAAAATAGAGAAAAGAATAGTTCAAATAATTCTGGTTTCATCACAAGCTATTCATCAACAAGAACGGTATTTAATGCAGATAAAGAGGGAAATGAGAATTTTGTGCTTTTCTTGCCTTATTTACCAACTTCTCACCTACAAAGATGTGTTAGTAATGAGCAAAATATGGTTATGAATAATGAACTGGGTAAACATGCCATTATTTATCTGAAGATTCTACTGAGTTGTGTTAAGGGACTGTGGAGAACAAACCTCAACAGGAGAGTGGGTCTCTGGCCTAAGGTTTAGACACATGGACAAAGAAGGCAAGAAGCATTAGTCATTGCTATGAAAGTGTCTAAATATGGAGTCCCTTAGGCAGAGACAATAAAATAGGTATACAAGAAAACACTGGTTAATTACTGACAAAAATTGTTCAGATAATAAAAAATTCAGAAGATTGGGTTAAATTCATATACACAAAAAAAAATATTATAAAATGATCACATACTGTACTATTATACTAATAAAAACTAACAACTTTTAAATTGGTGAAACATGAGAAATTCATAAATGTAATTATAAATTAACATTTTCATTTTATTTGAAAAAGTTTAACAATGGTGTCTGTCTAGCAGGTGCATTCCTTGGTTGCAGTGATTCGATTAACTGGTAATTCAGATAACTGGGATTCAGAAAATTGGCATTCTACTGCAATTCTGTTGCTGAGAGTCAAGGACAACTTACCAGTGACGCCAAGCCAGTATGAAATTTGGTTGGCAAGCATAGCTCGAACACAACCTGTCAGCCCATATCCATTTTCATGTGGTATGCTATAGTACCAGGCTTGTTCTGTTTCTCTGAATGCAACACCAACAAAAACCCCAGTCCTCTGACCCTTTAGGAGACAAGGGTTGACACCTTAACATAACAAGATTGTAAAAGAATCCAGTGTACGCTTAACAGACAGTTAAACAGAAAGGCTTATAAATTACATGCTAACATCCATGCTCTTCTATTTACTTAAAGGACATGAAAGTGAAGCTATCGTTTCTACTTTAAAAATGGCACAGAGCTGTTAAATCACATTCCTTACTCCCTTGGGCTGTCTTGGACAGTGAATTCATGAATTCAAGCTGTATAGTTGGCATTTTGGAAAATATCAAGACACATTTGGTAAATGGGTGCCTACTTGAAAGTAACATGTGTTGATCTGACAGGTACATTGAGTGAGACAGCAATGATGAACAAACAGAAGGCAACCCATGTACAACATACTGTGTATATCAACCTACAAGCTAACCTGCATCCACGATGGCCTCATACGCTCTCTCCAGCAGCAGACGACACTGCGGATCCATGATGTGTGCCTGCTTGTAGTTAATTCCAAAGAATGAGGCATCAAACTTGGAAATATTAGGCACCCTGCCTGCAAACCTGGGAAGCTCAGGGTGATCTATACAGAAAATATTGTTTATCAAAAAATTGTATTAGCTAACATATATCAGGTTCATTCAATTTAAAAACAGATCATTCATTTCAAACTGAGATAAAAGAATTTAGTGAAGGTGAAGTTAGATTTGGGAAGATGGAAAGACTTTGCAGAACTAATCCAAAGGTAGCAGCAACAGTACATCAGCAAGTGGTACATTCTTTTCCATTGTACATCAACATAAGGCACAATTTTTCTGGTTACAGCAATTACATATCAGGCCAACGCAATACATAAACATGAGAAATTCGTCATTACAAGAAACGACAGAGGCTTATCCAGAAAAAAAAAATGAAGGCAAATCCAGAGGAAATAAAGTCTGTAGTTGAGCATCAGGAAGTCTCTAAAGAAAAGGCTGCAGTGTATATGATTAGAGCACTGAAGGAGAGGTATGGGTACTGGCATCTAGCTGTATAACACAGCCAACAGTCGAAAATATGGACCCAAGGCAATGGTGGGTCCTGGAAGAAGTTGGCCGCTGCCCACAGGTAAATGACCTGCTGTGCCATTCTTGCACAGCATAAGGGACACTGTTGTCAGGAACCAGGCAGGTAAAATGATACAAGAGGAGACAATGGACATACCAGGAAGGCAGCAATGGAATAAGGGACTGAGGCAAAGACCAGCTACATCTAGGAAACGAGAGGACCTCCAGCAGGATCTCCAGGAAGGCTCTTGTGCTGGAGATTATGAAGCAAAGATTTGAATATACCAGTGATTCAATAAACATACCATACAGAGAAAGTTATAAGATAATGATATCATGGCATATGGTTGTAATGACTGAGGTTTCTGCGGTTTCCCCCACTCCCTCCAGGAAAATGAGTCCACAGTACTATTAAGCCATGATTGCTTTATTCCATTTTCTTCCAATTAATTGTTCACTGGCTTTCCTCTCCTTTCATGTGAGATGTTCTGAGACACTAGAAGTGATAATGAATTAACCATAACTCAAACAAAACAGCTAGAGTGCTTCCCAGAAAAAATACAAAGCAAAGCAGGACCGTATCTTCCAATTACTTGCAGCTCAATGTGCAAAACACTAGCATAAATATTTTCATGAATGGGTGCATGATATATGATTTGTGACAACAGATAATTTTGCTACTGTGAAGACTGAGGACTCTGTGTTTATCTGTTTCAAAATGTACCAAACCATATTGCAAGAGAACATTTCTGAGTGTGTGCAGAGGTCTTCATGGCTTCATCAAGTTCCCCTAGATAAATACAAAACAATAAATCGCACATGTGGTAACACAGATACTTCTATTGTGTGATCAGCTTTGTCTGGGAAGTCAGGAAATTAAATCATTTAAACAAGGACCAGAAAAAAGCATACTGTATTACATATCTAGAAAGATTGATCCTGGGTTTCCAGCTGACTGTAGGTGAGAAAACTTCCTACAACAAAAGTCACTATTTTATATACTGCACTTTTAATTACTTCTATAGCTTAAAATTTTTGGTACAATTTAACATGCAGACACTTCACAGATTGACAGCATGCCTACTGCACTGTGAGCCGTGTCCCTTGACCCTGTGGGTCAAGAACCCAGTTCTTCTACCCACTTAGACCCGTGAACCCCTGCTCAAATGGGTAAGGGACAGGCTCATAAGAAACGACTTGCTTGTAACGTGATGTACTATGCCTCCCCAAGGTCGAGTAAGGGATCTCGGGAGAGGAAAACCACCGTCGACACTATGGGCCAAGCTGGATGGATCAGCTAGTCCAAACTGGTAGGGAACACACTGCACAAGTATACATAAACACTGGCGTTTCCAAACATATAAATAAATGTATATTGATAACATATGTATACAGGTGGACTCTGCCTGATGGGCAGGGACTGGTCAGAACATGTGATAAATAATTAATACAGAACTACACTGTGCCTAGCCGCACAGAACTCAAGTCAGGCACGCCTCATGGCGTCTTTCTACTTCTCCAGTACAAACATGTACTTAAGCAAGCCTTGAGGGCACAAGGAAATATAAACAGGTTACATACACGCCTGAGGGGCGATCTGCTGTTTAACACAACCCTAAACAAAACCAAATTATCTTACGCCACACGGCGTTCATAATCGAAAGGAAAC